GGTGGCGCGGCCGGAAGCAGCGCGCTGGGTGCGCCAGTTCAGAAGAGCGCCGGGGAGCCAGGAGAGGGGGAGGAAGCGGGGGCCGTATTAAATCGGAACACGGGCCGGACTTTGGACATGCCTGGCTTAGCACATGGGTCTCCAAACAGACACAAACAAGCTCAGCACACTATCTTTTAAGGCAACCAGCAAGTAACCCCCAAACGGGTACCGGAAGCAGCGCGCTGGGTGCGCCAGTTCAGAAGAGCGCCGGGGAGCCAGGAGAGGGGGAGGAAGCGGGGGCCGTATTAAATCGGAACACGGGCCGGACTTTGGACATGCCTGGCTTAGCACATGGGTCTCCAAACAGACACAAACAAGCTCAGCACACTATCTTTTAAGGCAACCAGCAAGTAACCCCCAAACGGGTAGGTCATCTCCCTGATTTCATAGGGTCATTAACTACAGAGCTCCTTGCGTTATTTGTGAAACACAAGGCTTGGAGGCAGGTCAGCCCTTTAATTCTGCTTTACAAGATCTAGTGTCTTGTGTTCATTTTCAGTGTTGATCTAGCCCTTCTGCTTGTGGATACATTGCAATTCTGCATGCAGGAATTCTAATGTGTGGTTTTGTCACAGAACTCCTTATGTGCATGCGGAGTGCCTGAGGTCAAAGGTGGACACATATCAAAACTGTTTATGGGTTGCTGACAGATGTGTTGACATAGACATCCTGAAAGAAAGCCAATGTTTTATTTGGAACACTATACCTTCAGAGAGCTGGAAAATTGGAAACTAAAATTTCCACTTGACTTACCAGTTAGCAGTTTGTGGTTCTGGCCATAAACTGGGTCCTACAGCTCATCTTGCTATTGCCCAGCTATTCACTCTTCCTCTTCTTTCTATCCATGTTGTTCTAGGACATGTGGTTTAAAGACCCATTGAAATACAATGAGCCAAAACTCTCCTGTTTATGCAGTTGGTCATTCTCTCCTAGGTGGGTTATATACACCAACTACTGACTAGTTCATAATGAAACTGCAATGCAGGAGTTCACACCTTAACTGTTGGGAGGGAAGATGAAGATCTTGAGGTCCTTGGTGGTGATGGTTGCAGAAAATCCTATTTTAAATCAGTAATATTCGTGTGTAGTCTTTTTTGAAAAATAAAGTTGTCAGCCTCTGCAGGAGACAGGATACCATGCTGAATTGGTTGTATGAGATTTGTGGATTGCTACTCAGTTTATTTAAAACACAATTTCTGGCTGGGGGGCCATTAAGTTGAGCGTAGGTTTAGCAACATCACCACATAAGGAATGATGGAAAGTTATTTACTGGTACGGGTAGTCTCTGAGGATCATAGCTTCAGGGTAATTCAGGGTGGGGCACCTCTGAAGAAGTGGATTGTGCCCATGAAAGCTCATGATACCATCTGCATGTTTTGTTAGTCTTTAAGGTGCTGCAAGGAGGAAGACTCCCCGTATTCCCTTTGCACACCAGAGACTGCCCCCCCAGGAGATTTTGGGTGCTCCAGCCCTGTGGGCTCTAGAATGCTGGGGGGAGACAGTGAACCTTGAGGGCTGGATCCAGGCAAGCTGGGGACTACATCTGGCCCCTGGGCCTAAGGTTCCTCCCCCCATGGGAACTCCTAGCATGCTGACTGGTTCTTCAGGTGATGTCTCTACAGGTTCTCCACTCAGGCCTCGGTGCGTCCTGGCGCTGTGGATAGGAGATTTTTGCCTAGCAGTGCGTCCTGCGCCACTCGTGCACTCCCCATCTTGTGCTGTTGTCTGTTAGGTGCATGTGTGGTGCGAGCCTCCCTCAGTTCCTTTTCTGCCGTCCTCGGCTGACGATGGAGTCACAGCAGTGCTCTCCCTTCTGCCCGAAAATAAAGAAATAGTGCAGTTAGTTTAGCAATAGTTAATAAGTTTAGTCAGTTTAGAAGAAGTTTCACCTAGTTGTTCAGTTAAAAACAAACAAAAGCTGATGCGGCAGTTTTTCCTTTATTCCTCTCAACATGCCATGCCCTCCTGGCCTTACGAAATGCAATTCATGCCTGGATTCAATGCTGGTTTCAGACGGACACGCATCCTGTATTAAATGCCTGGGTGAAAATCACGTAGCGCAGAAGTGCCCGCATTGTTTAAACATGACAATCGGAGCGAGGAAAGACTGCAAAATGCGGCTGAAGAATCTTCTCTGAGAGAAATCCTTCCAACCACTGGGGGATAAGTCCCAGGAGACACAGATGCAACTGGTGTCCCGTTTCAGGGTTAGCTCACTGTCCCATAGAGGCTCGGAGTGTCGCGGGCTTTCCCTGAACAATCGCTGCCCACTGCATCCTGAGCTACCCGATCCCTGGTGCAGTTAACTTCCGGCACATGAAGAAGCATAAATTGACTTCAGCCAGGAGAACTGAGTTGGAACCGAAACATTGGGCATCCACTGGTGCAGCTAATCCACCGTTGCTGACACAACTGAATATGCCATTGCTGCTGACACCCACAGGCGTCCCGACACCGATTGAACAAGCTGGTACCAGACATACTGAATTAAAGCGCACTCCAGCACCGGAGCATAAGAAAGCAGCTAGCAAGATGCGCCATTTACAAAAAGCCTCACAGTTGGGCACACCACCTCCTCCGGCGCAGGGAGTATGTTCACCATGCTCTCCAATTTCACCTCCTGCTAGCCTGTACAGACAAACCGCAGATAAAACTTCTCACTCGCACACCACTGTCACTGAACTGAACATGGCAGGGCCGTAGATTCTCATTTTGTCACTCATCCTCAATGGGATCAGTGTCTTGATGGCACTTCATCCAGAACCATCCCTTTCAACAACCCTCACAACTTGCATGGCTCAACCAACCATGGCTGTATCCACCACAACACCTTCAACCTCAGTGGCCTTTCTGGGAGCCAGGGCACCAGTATCACCCCACTCCTCCCATCGCCATTGCTCACGAGATAACCAGCCTCTACACCACCGCATACAGCTACGCGTTACCCGGCTACCACGGTTCGTCAGTCACCGTCTCATCCCCCTTTGGTAATAACCCAGGCAGATTCAATACATGACGATGAGAACTTACCTCACTCCTACTCAGAGAGCTCTTCACACGCTCCTCAGTCTCTCGCTGGTCTAGACAAGGCAGTTTTCCAGGTGTTTCTCTCTCCACCAGCAGATGAGCTGAAACAATTCTAAGAACTATTCAGACGAGTGGTTCAATCTCAAGACATTACATTCCAAGAAGTGCAAGATAAACAATACAAATTACTTACAGTACTACAACTGGCTGCATCCTCAACGATAGCATTACCCATCAATGAGCCCATCTTGGAGTCATCGGATGTACTCTGATAAACACCAGACTCTATCCCCCCCCATCAACCAGAGAGTAGACAGAAAATACTTTGTCCCAGCGAAAAAGATGGATTTTCTCTTCTTACATCCCCACCCAAATTCACTGGTCATTAACTCGGTTCATCATAAAGCAAAATACCCCCAATTCAAATCTACACCTCAATACCACGAGCAGGTCTTTGGCTGGAAAGTATACTCCTCTGCCACACTCCAGTTCAGAATATCAAATTACACTGCCTTTCTGGCTAACTACGATCATGCCAATTACTCTAGATTACAATATCTCTTACAGGACCTTCCTGAAAATAAGAAACCACATCTCTAGTCTAGCATCAAAGAGGGCCAATCCATAGCAAAAATTGCCCTCTAGGCTGCAATGGATGTGGCGGATACAGCAGCTAAGGCCACAGCTTCAGCAATAGTAATTTGCAGAGCATTGTGGTTATATTCATCAGGAGTCCCAAAAGAATTTCAGACTAAGGTGGGGGACCTCCCCTTTGATAGGAACCAACTGTTTGCCACAAAAACAGATGAGGTGTTCCATTCAATGAAAGATTCCTGCAGCACACTGTACTTTAGGCATGTACACCCCGCCTAACCAAAGACATATCCTGTACCGGAGACCAAGAGACTTGAACTACCACAGGCAACAGCAGAGGCCATACGATAACAGGCCCAAGTAATGTCCCAACAGAAGGACTCAACACAGCCAGTCCTCTAACACTCAACCCACTTCACACAAACAGCAGATTTAAAGTCTTGGGCGGGAGTCTGAGCGTCCAGCCCAAAGATCCAGTGCATCCAAACACAACCTTCCATCACTGCCTGAGACCATTTTACCAACAATGAGCTCTCATTACTACGGATCAGTGAGTCCTTGAATCATCAAATCGGGCAACACAGTCCCCTTTTACATCTATATCCCCTACCCCAGTGGTCCCCAATGCAGTGCCCCCCGGGTGCGCAGCACATGCGTGGTGCCAGCCCTGGGCTCAGGGCGCATGCGCAGCCCCCACCCCTGGGGCATGGCGCATGTGTGGCCCCACCCCCGGAAGCACGGTGCGTGAGCGGCCCCGCCCCTGGATGCCCGGCACGTGAGCAGCCCTGCCCCATGGCACCCGGCAGCCACAAAAGGTTGGGGACCACTGCACCCAATCCTGTACCCAATGACCCTCTCCAGAGACCCCTCTCACGAGCCCCTGTTACAAGCAGAAGTACAAAAGCTACTGAGCCTAGGGGCAATAGAACCAGTTCCCACAAATCATCAGGAAAGAGGGTTCTATTCCAACTACTTTCTAACTGCCAAGAAAACAAGCGGCTGGAGGTCAGTTTTGAATATCTGGAAACTCAATAAGTTTCTCCAACAGCAAATTCAGAATGGTGATGCTTGTAACTATTATGCCAGCACTGGACAAAGGGGACTGGTTCTCAGCCCTAAACCTTCAGGACTCAATTTCCATATAACCATACATCCTGCCCACGGGAGATTTCTCCAGGTCATGGTAGGTCAAGATCACTACCAATTCTGAGTCCTCCCTTTTGGTCTCTTCATGGCCCCTCAAGATTTTTCCAGGACTTTAGCTGTGGTCACGGCCTTTCTCAGTAGCCAAAGCATCATTATTTGTGCCTACCTCAATGACTGCCTGATCAAGGGGCCCACATGTCAACAAACAATAGCCATGATGATCACTACCAGAGATTGCTTCACCTAACTGGGCCTCCTTATAAATATCCAGAAATCCGCCCTACAGCCTACATAAGAACGGCCATACTAGGTCTGACCAAAGGTCCATCTAGCCCAGTAGCCTGTCTTCCAAAAGTGGCTAGTGCCAGGTGCCCCAGAAGGGGTGGACCAAAGACAGTGATTAAGCCATTTGTCTCCTGCCATCCATCTCCAGCCTTACAGAGGCCAGGGGCACCATTCCTTACCCCCCCCCGGCTAATAGCCTTTTATGGACGAAACCTCCATGAATTTATCTAGCTCTTTTTTTTTAAACTGTTATAGTCCTAGCCTTCACAGACTCCTCTGGCAAGGAGTTCCACAGGGTGACTGTGCGCTGTGTGAAGAAGAACTTTATTTTATTAGTTTTAAACCTGCTACCCATTAATTTCGTTTGGTGTCGTCTAGTATCCTTTTGTCTACCGAAAAGATAGTTCATTGGGGCTCTCTTGGATGCAGTGACAGCGTTATGTGACCTCACCTGGGGAGTCAAACATGCTCCCTTCACCACAGCACACACACGTCTTCAAATACTGGGACACGTGGTAGCCACAACTTTTGTCATCCTATTCACGAGGCTACATATGCACTGCCTATAGTCCTGGTTTGCGACCGTCTACATCCCGAACCAGCAGTCTTGCAAAATGCCTCATTCTCCAACCCTCGGTCCTACAATCTTGCGACTGTTGGACTTCCCCAACCAGTCTGCTAGCTGGCGTACTTTTCCATCGTCCGGATCCATCAGTAGTGATCATGATCAATGCATCACTTCTGGGCTGGGGCGCCCACTGTGGCACAAGAATGGTACAGGGCATATGGTCGCAACTAGAGATGCACCGCCATGTCAACATCTTGAAGCTCAAAGCGTGCACTCACTTCCTTCCACGTGTAAAGGGTAGAACCATTAATGTCCTTACGGACAACACACCCTCTAAGTTCTGCATCAATCAGCAGGGGGGTGCCCGATCACGCTCGCTATGTGTAGAAGCAATCAAATTTTGGAACTGGTGCCACAAGAACCACGTAACCCCAACTACCACTTACATTCCAGGCCAACAGGATACCAGGGCCGACAAACTGAGAAGACACTTCTCTGAACAACACAAATGGGAAATCCAATCTGTGTTCTCCTTCTAGTTTTTTAACAGTGGGAATTCGCAATCATAGATCTATTCACTCCAGCATTCAACCGCAAATGCCACAGATTCTGTTCCTGAGCAGGTCAGGGCAAGAGATTGGAGGAAGATGCCTTCACATTTGCTGGACTGCTCCCCTACTCCTGTGCTTTCCCACTAATTCCCCTACTCTACAGAGTAATCAACAAGATTCGCTCCGACCAGGCCACAGTAATTCTGATAACTCCTTGCTGGCTGAGACAACCTTGGTTCCCTTATCTACATTACCTATCAGTAAGCCAACTGAACCCTCTCCCCATGAGTCCCTACTTGCTAACTCAACACAGGGGCAAAATCCACCACCTGAACATCAAACTCTGAAACTCATAGCATAGCTTCTCCATGGTTCCAAAATGAAGAACTTACCTGCTCAGAGAGTGTCAAGTGGATGCTATTAAACAGACAACATTCTTCCACAAGATGCACCTACCAAAACAAATGGAAACGCTTTCAGCAGTGGGGTAGCACTCATCATTTACAACCAAACACTGCCCGCATACGTACCGTACTCGAAAACTTGATGGACCTCAGCAATGCAGGCCTCTCCATCAGCTTGATTTGTGTCCATCTTTCGGTGGTTACGATTTTCCATGAACCAGTCGATGATCTCTCACTCTCTGCACACCTGATGACGAAGCGATTCCTAACAGGCTTGCAGAAAATGCACCGCAACTTACACCCCCGGTACCTGGTATCTCATTCTTGACATGCTCACCAGGCCACCCTTTGCACCACTAAGCCACAGTCCCACCACAATACTTATCCATGAGAGCGGCTTTCATAGTGGCAATAACATCTGTAAGATAAATGGGCGAAATTGCAGCCCTTATGGCTGATCCACCATACACTGCCTTTACTAAGGATAAGGTCACACTCAGGCCTCATCCCAAGTTCCTCCCCGAAGTTATATCTGACTTCCACCTAAGTGAACCCATATACTTACCCACATTTTTTTCCTAAACCTCACATCTCTTCAAGAGAATCCATCTTGCACACCCTAGATGCCAGATGAGCCCTCATGTTCTACTTAGACAAGGGAATCAGACAGACTCTTCATCTCTTGGTCTGATCCCCCTAAGGGAACAGCTGCCTTGGCATAATGGATTTCCAAGTGGACTGCAAGCTGTATATACATGGTTTACCAGCTTCGTGGAAAACCACCACCACAGATTATTAGGGCTCACTCCACACGTGTGATGGCCACATCAATGGCTTTCCTACATAATGTGCCACTAGTGGACATTTGTAGAGCAGCGACATGGTTTTCCTATCCCTTTCGCACATTATGCCCTACAGAAAAGACCTATACCTACCACCACTCTAACAGATGTGGTCATCGCTTCTTCACATAAATGACTCCCATGCCCACCAGCATAGGGCGGGTACTGCTACTTAGTCATCTGAGTGGAGCACCAACAAGGACACCACTCGACGGAGAAGAAATTGTTACTCATCCTGTGCAGTAATGATGGTTCTTCGAGATGTGTCCCCTGCAGGTGCTCCACTACCCTCCTTTCCTCCCCTCTACTTAGAGTCCTTTATTGGATTTCAGGTACAAAAGGAGCAGGTAGAAAAGGTCTGTTAGGTGCGCACACAGCAACAGCACGAGATAGCTATTGCGCATGTGTGGCGCAGGAGGCACTGCTAGGCAAAAATCTCTGAGCAGCGGTGTGAGGACGCACCAAGACCCACAGGGGCACACTTCTCGAAGAACCATCTCTACTGCACAGGGTGAAAAACTTCTTGTGAGGAATTTGCATGCCTTCAGGGCTGACTAGTTCTGGATTTAGGCTTTGGTTGTAGGAATACCTAGGTTGGGACTCGGGACAGACCCAGTACTCTCCATTGAATGAAAGGCAGCCTCTTAAAGCAAGAAAAATGTAGCTTCCTTAACTGGTTCAAAGTGCAAATAAATCCACTATTGAGAAATTTGAAGAAGAAAAATTTGTGTTTAAGTAGAACCCATTGGATACTCTTGGCCTTCAGCTGCCGTTGCATATGATACTAGCAGACAGAAGTGTCTGTATCAGTTTGTCGTTTTCAGGAGCACTAGAAAGACAGCAGAAAAGTATTCCTTGCTAGATGGAAAGATGAGATTAGGCCTGGGTGAGTGTATTCAGAGTGGGAGGTACAAATGCTGTGTTTCTGGCTGGGCATAGTATCACCACCCTCCTTCTTCCCCATAGTGATCACACAGACTTCTAAAAATTTTGAAACATAGCTCCCTCTTTGTGTGGTGTGATTGGGAACCTCCAGCTGTGTGGCTGTGATTCATGTCTGCCACTAGGTGAAGGCATAAAATAAGGTTTATTTTGTTACCCCGTTTGTGTTCTCTGCGAGCCTAAGCATTTGAGGGTGGTGGTAGTCTGGCGGAGTTCAGGGTCTTTCTCCTTCACTGATGTGCCAATGTGTTCATGGAGGTTGTACTCCTGTTGTAAGAAACCACTCCCCGCTCAGCATCTCGTCCTTAGGACTGCTCTTGGTTTGGTTTGAACCATCATATATTCCTGCCACAGCTGTATCTAAGGCTGTAAGTGTGTAGCAATTTAAACAGATAACTGATAAGCTCATGCTTATTGGTTACTCAAATGGTCACATGCAGCTCAGATCCCAGGGAGCCGCCTGCCACCTGAGCTATTCCCTCTGTATCAGATACAGAAGCAGCAGCAGAGCGGGGTGGCAGGCGGGAGCTGATGCATGCAGGGAGTGGGCTTTAAGTAGCAGTGTTGGGAGCTGGCTAAAAGCTGGCTCCTGGCATGCACTGGCTCCCGGGAGCTGCCTGCCGCTCCGTGTGTAACCACTGACAATTTCAGTGGTGTCACGGCTAATCAGTTATTTGCATTTTGATATCCCTAGTATCTGCAAGGGATATGCTAAGTCTTGCTGCATGCTGATGGTAAATTTGCAGACCTGCTATGGAAGGTCTCTGGCCTGTGCTCTCTGCATTCAATTTTTCTGTTTGTTACAAAATCTTTAACACTTAAACATTCTTCAACATTAGTTTTTTTCAGGACGATGCTGTCTAAATCTTTTGCTGGCCTCATGCTGTCTAGCACAGATAAGGGTACTCTGTCCTTTGAGTCTGGAATCGGTTTCCTCTGAAAAAATTCAAAATTCTTTTACAAATTCAAGTCTCTCTACACAGTGGAAAGTAGCAGGAATATAGCTATGCTGCATATGCCAGGACTCCTATGAGGAGCCATATCTCTTTATGTAATCAATGCAGATGAAGCTAACGTGCTGTCTTTTCTGTTTTTTTTTTTCAGAACTCTATTAGGCACAACTTGTCCCTGCACAGCAAGTTCATTAAAGTGCATAATGAAGCTACAGGGAAAAGTTCTTGGTGGATGCTCAATCCTGAAGGTGGCAAAAGTGGGAAATCACCAAGGAGGAGAGCTGCCTCAATGGACAACAGCAGCAAACTGGCAAAAGTCAGAGGTAAAGCATCCAAAAAGAAGGCCTCACTCCAAGCAGCTTCAGAAGCTACTGCCGACAGCCCTGGCTCCCAGTTCCCCAAATGGCCTGGGAGCCCATCGTCAAGGAATAACGAGGACTCCGACGTGTGGACCAGTTTTCGGCCTCGAACCAGTTCCAATGCGAGTACCATTAGTGCCAGGCTTTCCCCCATCATGCCTGAGCAGGATGACCTCCCAGATGAAAAGCTTCTCCCTTCTCTAGTATACTCCAGTGCATCCAGCAGTGTCCCACCAACTGTGACAGAAGAGCTTGAACTCCTGGATGGGTTAAACCTGATGTCACCCAGTTCTTCTATGCTGCCCACCCAGCAGTCTGCCTCAAGTGGACCAGTCCAGAGAGATTCCAGCTTCTCTTTGAGAGCCCAGAAGTCAGTTGGTCAGACCTCTGCTTTTGGCGCCTCTCTGTTTAACCCTGTTGATATCTCACTGCAGAACTCTGTGAACTGTTTCTCTGGCCCTCAGAGCCTGGAAGCTCTCCTGACATCAAGCTCTCCACCTCCCAGCGATGTGATGATGACTCAAGTGGATCCAATCCTCCCTCAGACTGGAAGCAGGCTAAACAGTCAGACTTTTCTGCTTTTAGGTGGACAGGTCAGCCAGAGTAAAACAAGCCCCGTGAACACACGAGGAAAGCCTTTGGAGCAGCAGTCAGAGCCAGTTGCTGCCAGTGCTCTGTCCACACTTTCTGTAGTGGCATCTCCTCAAAACACAGCCAGCATGTCCACTTTGAAGGCCCCAGTCCCAGCACCGATGGCCCAAGCAGCCCATCTGGGTACGCAGCCACTTCTCTCATCTGTTGGTTCTGCGTCCTTTGGAATGAGCCAGGACAGGCTGCCCACTGACCTGGATGTTGACATGTACATGGAGAATCTTGAATGTGATGTGGATTACATAATCAACAGTGACCTCATGGATGAAGAAGGCCTGGACTTCAACTTTGAACCCATTCTGTCTACGCCCAGCTATCCCAACACCTCGCAGGCCTCCAGTCATACTTGGGTACCAAGTTAACTTCAGGAATACCAAAAGGTCGGTGAGTTTGTCAAGTATCTTTTAGATCTCTAACAGATACTGAACTGGCTTGAGTTGGGATGTTCCCCCTCCCCCCATAGTCCTCAAATGCCCAGTTTGTACTAGGGAGGCAGAGCTGTTTAAAAAGCTGCAGGATCTTGATTGCGTAAAGCTGCTGCTGCTGTCCTGGCTAGAGGAGAAACCAGCTGAATTCTGTATTGAAGCTACTTTTAAGTGTCAAGTCCTCTTGCTTTCTTGTCTCTTGAGCTGCTGGAGTCTGGTTAGTGGAGCAGCTTGCTCCCTGCGCTCTTCACAGTAAATGCAAGGGGATGCTGTCTCTTGCATTTCTGTGACTGGCGAAAAGTGTTCTCTCGGGTAGATCTGTAAGACCACTCCAGTGCCAGAGCTTCCTGGAATCTGTTTGTAGGCAATGCCAAATTCTCTTTCCTTATAGCTTTTAAAAAGTACAGAGAAACAGTAATGACTCCCTGCACCATTCAGGGACAGTGTACCTGCATGCAGCTCCTGAGCACCTGTGCTTCCTCTCTTGTTCTAGCTATCCTTGAGAGAAAATGGTCCTGTTCATAATTTTTGCATCTGACATCTTTGCATAAGCTTTCCTGCCTTTACAATTGTGTCTTTTGGAAACACGGCCCGTCTCTCTCAAAGTATAGAATGAAGTTATACAGATGTTTTAGTCTGGTGTCAGTACTGACTTGCTTTAGCCATAGAATGTGCATCTGTGATTGAAAAGCAGGCTCCTTCTAAGGAGCTGGCTGGGCCGTCCTTCACGCCCAGAATGAGTTAGGAACCCCGATTGGCATCTGACTTGTGAGCACGTATTCTTCTTTCCTCACCTGCCAGAATCTCTGGACTTGCTCCTTAAATGGCTTTGAGGTTGGGAGGAACTGATTCAGAAGTACTCTTTGATCACATGCAGCAGTCCTGGCTCAGCTTTGGGAGCCATGTGTATTATGGCCATGTGCTAGTAGGAAGGCCTGTTTGTATGGCAAAGAAAGGAGAGGTGCATATGTGTCTAAATAAATGCTAGGAACTGAGCTGTCTGTGAGTGAGACCTACTCCGATTTTCCCTCTGCTTAGACTGCACCTCCCCAGTCCCAACTTGCTTGGTTGGGTATTGGTTTCCTTCCTATATTGTCATTGGGCAGCACTGCGCTACTGCTGGTTGGTTCCTGAGAGCTATAAGGGGTAATCCATGTTGAGGAGAAGGCTCCAAATACATTTGAAGGTAAAATAAACTCTTCTTCTGGGGAACTGTGTGGAGTGGAGTTGGGTTACATGACTGGCTTCAGAAGACATTAGAAGGTGACATGTCATCTCGCGAGAGATGCTGCCTACCAGGGGCCCGTATCTGATATGTTCTGGAGGCATTGTTGAGGATCATCTTGCTCTGACTACTACTCCATGCTTCTTACCCATGTGGGCACTACTGAAACTGCAGGGTGTGACCTTGAGCAGATCAAGAGTGACTATAGGCCTCTGGCAGTATAGGTGAGGGAGTTTGGAGCACAGATGGTGTTCTCTTCAGTCCTTCCTGTCAAAGGTCGGGGCCCAGGCAGACACAGGTGGAGGTGAATGCGGCTGCAAAGATGGTGTCAGCAGGAGGGATTTGGCATCTGACCACAGGGTGGTGTTCCAAGAAGGACTTAGGCAGGGAGGGGGTTCACTTTTCGAGGAAGGGGGAAGAGAGTATTTGGATGCAGACTGGCTAACCTAGTGAGGAGGCTTTAAACTAGGTTCGATGGGGGCAAGTGACCAAAGCCCACAGGTAAGTGAAGAATATGGAGACCTGGGAGTTGGGTCGGAAATAGGAGGGATCGTGGGCTATAATAGCAGAGAGAAAGGAGGGACAAGGCAAATCTGGGGAGCAAAATCAAATCAGCATCTTAGATGCCTGTATACAAATGCAAGGATTATGGGGAATAAGCAGGAATAAACATAACTAAATAAACATAACTATTGCCACATAATAAAGTGCCAATAAATGTAACTATGGCATAATTATCACAGAGATCTGGTGGGATAATACACGTGACTGGAATATTGGTATAGAAGGGTACAGGTTACTCAAGAAGGATAGGTGGGGGGGGAAGGGGTGTTGCCTTATACACTTAGACTGAGGGGGGGAGATGGACGTAGGGGACAGACTTGTTGAGAGTGTCTAGGTTAGGTTAAAAGGAGTAAAAAACAAGTGCAATGTCATGCTAAGGGTCTACTACTGATCACCTATCCAGAAGAGGTGGATGAGGCTTTTTTTAAACATCTCACAAAATCATCCAAAAGGCAGCATTTGGTGGTGATGGGGGACTTCAACTATCCAGAGATATGTTGGAAAACTAACACATCAGGGAACAGACTATCCAATACGTTCTTGGACTGCATTGGAGACTTTTTTTTATTCCAGGAGGTTGAAAAAGCTACTGGGGGAAGCTGTTCTAGATTTGATTTTAACAAATAGGGAGGAGCTGTTTGAAAATTTGCAAATGGAAGGCAGCCTGGGTTAAAGTGATCATGAAATCGTAGAGTTCATGATACTAAAGAATGGTAGAGGAGAGAACAGCAAAATAGAGACAATGGATTTCAGGAAGGCAGATTTTAGTGAACTCAGAGCTGGTGGGTAAGGTCCCCTGAGAAGCAAGACTAAGAGGAAAAACAACTGAAGAGAGTTGGTAGTTTTTCAAGGGAACATTATTAAGGGCCCAAAAGCATGATCTAAAAATAAAAAAGCCATATAAAAAGTGGAAACTAGGTCAAATTACAAAGGATGAATATAAACAAACACAGGTATTCAGGGACAAGATTAGAAAAGCAAAGGCACAAAACGAGTTTAAATTAGCTACAGGCATAAAGGGAAGCAAAAAGACATTCTATAAATATATCAGAAGCTAGAGGACGATCAAGGACAGGGTAGGCCCACTGGTCAGTGAGAAGGGAGAAACAGTAACAGTAAACTTGGAAATGGCAGAGATGCTCAATGACTTCGTTTCAGTTTTCACCGAGAAGTCTGAAGAAATGCCTAACATAGTGAATGCTAGTGGGATTGGGATAGGTTTAGAAGATAAAATTTAAATAACAAGCTAAAAATCAATTAAAAAAGTTAGATGTCTGCAAGTCCCCAGGGCCTGATGAAATGTATCCTAGAACACTCAAGGAGCTGAGTGAGGAGGTATTTGAGCCTTTACCTATCATCTTTGAAAAGTCATGGAAGTTAGGAGAGATTCCAGAAGACTGCAGAAGTGCCCATCTCTAAAAAGGGAAATAACAACAACCCAGGAAACTACAGACCAGGCAGTTTAACTTCTGTGTCAGGAAAGATAATGGAGCAAGTAATTAAAGAATTCATCTGCAGATATCTGGAAGATAAGGTGATCAGTAACAGCCAGCATGGATTTGTAAAGAACAAATCATGTCGAACCAATCTGATAGCTTTCATAGGATAATGAGCCTTGTGGATAAGGGAGAAGCAGTGGATATGGTATACCTATACTTTAGTAAGGCATTTGATATGATCTTGCATGACCACCTTATCAATAAACTAGGTAAATACAACTTAGATGGGGCTACTATAAGGTGGGTGCATAACTGGCTGGATAACCGTACTCAGAAAGTAGTTATTAATGGTTCATAATTATGCTGGAAGGGTATAACAAGTGCGGTTCCACGGTAGGGGTGTCAGTTTTGGGACCAGTTCTGTTCCATATCTTCTTCAACAATTTAGATATTGGCATAGAGAGTATGCTTATTAAGTTTGTAGATGATATAGGGTCATAATTCAAAATGAGGTAGACAAACTGGAGAAATGGCTTGAAATAAATAGGATAAAGTTTAATAAGGACAAATGCAAAGTGCTTCACTTAGGAAGGAACAATCAGTTTCACGTGTACAGAATGGGAAGGGACTGTCTAGGAAGGAGTACTGCAGAAAGGGATATATGGATTATTGTGGATCACAAACTAAATACAAGTCAATAGTGTGACACTGTTGCAAAAAATCAAACACTGTTCTGGGATGCATTAACAGGAGTGTTGTGAGCAAGACATGAAGTCATTCTTCTGCTTTACTCTGCACTGATTAAGCCTCAACTGGAGTATTGTGTCCAGTTCTGGGCATCGCATTTCAATAAAGATGTGAAGAAGTTGGAGAGGGTCCAAAGAAGAGCAACAAAAATGATTAAAGTTGTAGAAAACAGGACCTAATGATGGTGTTTGTTGCGGCGGTAGGTTCCTGGGAGAGTGTATCTGTGGTTGCTGGTAAGTATTTGCTTAAGGCTTTGGGGGGGGAGGGGGGGTTAACTATAGGCATATCTATACAAGTGACACCATCACAGGACCTAATCACATAAGCCACAATATCAGGGGCTCATATAACTGCCCATCATCTAATGTAATATATGCTATCAAGTGTCACCAATGCCCCTCTGCCATGTACATTGGGCAAACGAACAATCTCGGCAAGAAAGGATACATGGTCACAAATCAGACATCAGGAATATTAACACAAACTTGTAGGGGAACATTTAATAATGGATTTAAAAGTAGTCGTTCTACAAAGAAATTTTATCTCCTAATTACCGAGGGTAACAATCTCGGCAAGAAAGGATACATGGTCACAAATCAGACATCAGGAATATTAACACAAACTTGTAGGGGAACATTTAATAATGGATTTAAAAGTAGTCGTTCTACAAAGAAATTTTATCTCCTAATTACCGAGGGTGACAGCTGAACTGAAATTCATTTACAAGTTCAACACTATCAACTTGATCTTGAATAAAGGTATTAACTGGTTAACACACTACAAAGACAATTCTCCTCCCCCCTTTGCTATTTGCATTTATACATCAGAAGCAATGAATGGGATACATCCAGCCTGATTCAATTGGCTTCATTTACACTGATTGTATAGTTAACAGGTAGCTGCTTTTGCTGTTGTGTATATACCCTGAATATGTAATTTCCACTCCGCTCATCCAAGGAAGTGGGTTTTACCCACAAAAGTTCA